AATGACCGAACGCGAGAACATGCCGCAAACTTAAGAAACCTGGCTGCACCTGGGCATCTAGCAGCTCATTGTAGAGAATGCATGTGTGAGGCTAAGCTCGAAACGGTAAGCATCCTAGCTCACCACAAAGACCGGTTCGCCCGAGAACTACTTGAGGCCTTAGCCATAGAACAACAAAAAGACAACTGCGTCAGTTCACCATCCATTGCCCTACAAACAAGTGAAAAGAAGTTCCTGCGAGACGAAAATGCCCATGAAGATAGAGGAAGATCAAGAAAAAAGAAAAAGAAGAAGACGTGAAAAGGTCAGCCACCAGACCAGTAGAGGAAGAAGCCGAGGGTTAATAAATAGTTGGTAGTCCAGCGATCGGATGCCTTTTCTCCTTTCTCTCCTCACCCTTTTCTGTAAGTTCAGCTGGTTTCCACAATCTAAGGCTATAGGCCAGCGCTATGAAACATAGCAGGGCCGGATGGCCTTCCTATGTTTCATAGCAAGGCCACATGGCCTTGCTATAGAGCCGTCTACACGAATCGGACTCTGTTATCGGACGGAGCTGTTCCGATTGACAGACTGCATGTACTGGCCATCAGGACTTGGCAAACTTCTAATGTAAGGTGATTATTTAGACTTGTACCCGCCATGGAGCTACGTAGTGTAGGTTGGTTACCTCGTTGGATCTGGATGGAGCTAATGATGACGACGTCAAAGAGCGAGGTGAGTTGTCCCATCGGAGTAGACCAGCAACGACTGTTGGAATGCAGGAGGACAGGGACCGGGATGGCCGATCGGGTAGCCCACTGATTGAGAGAGAAAGAGATAAAGATTAAGCTCTTAAAATAAGAAAAAGAAAGACGAAAAAAAGTGAAAGCCTTTTACAAATTACAACTCCCTGTAACGCCGAACTAGAGCTCAGCTCTTGAGGAGGAGGAGAAGAGGGTACTGAGGGGCACGTGCTCTCGGGGGGGGGGGGGGGGGGGGGGGGGAATTTTCCGCTATATCTAGCGGGGAAATTTTTCCGCTAAATTCAGCGGGGAAATTTCACCGCTAGATTTAGCGCGCAAATTTTTTCGCCAGATTTAGCGGGGAATTTTTCCGCTAAATTTAGCGGGGAAATATTGCCGCTAGATTTAGCGGGGAAATTTTTCCGCTAGATTTAGCAGGGAAATTTTTCCGGTAGATTTAGTGGGGAAATTTTTCCGCTAGATTTAGCGGGCAATTTACCCATAATGCACCGCGCGGTTACGCCGACGGCGACGCCGACGCCGCTCAAGCTGGAAACGGGCGCCTAAGAGCTGCGCTCTAAAAACGGGTCGTGCGTTTAGAGTTTGAACGAGAGCTAGTTCGTGCGGAAAGCTGACCCAGAACCAGTGGAGGAGGCGCAGAACTCCACCTGAGAGAAGAGATTCTTAGCTTTTTGAGGATCATGAATAGCGTGTTGACACAAATGGCGTCGTCCGAACTGCTCGTACAAAGCTGGTTCGACGGTGTAAAAAATATCTTTGCGACATATGAGGTTCCTAAGCGTCTGAAGGGCTCGCTCTGCGACCTTACACAGGGCGTATGCGAGCGCTGGGAAATAGGTTGCCTTTCGGCGAACAAAGTGATTGCGGTACGGTTAAGGAGCAAGTCCTCCCAAAACTCAAACTGTCACGGGCCGAGTACAGGAGGCTTTTCCTCAAAGCCACCAGAATGGAACAAGAACCCTAAACTCAGTTTGCATCACGGCTCGAAAGCTAGATGAGCATTATGCTCGAAGTCGCTGGTTCGACTCTTTTGAGGACTTATGAGCAATAACGATATTTGACCGTATTAAAAATTCCTCGCCAGTCAACGTGCAGACCTATGTAACACTAAATGAGACTAAAAATGGCTTAAACCAATAAAAATGGCTGCGCTGGCCGACCGTTTTGAGAAGGGAGAACGATGCTAACATCGCAACAACCCCGGATACTCGAAAAACCGCGAGCATGAAAAGAAAAGATGGTCTAGTCCTGTCGGAAAAGAGCATGATAATGTGGGACCGAACTCAAAGCCGAACCAAGCAAGGGTAAAATGTTTCAATTGCAAGGATATCGGTCATTTTTCCCGAGACTGCCTCCGTAAATAGGCGCGGGACCGAGACTTGGAGAATAACCCAGTGGTGGGAAATGTCTCCACAAATCTGCAACCACGCGAACAAAAGGCGTCCCTGGACGCAACTGCGCTTCCCTTCTATCTGGAGGGCGTACGCGCTGAGCGGTGTAAAATAGGAGTAAAGTACGGTTCGAAGAGCATAAGCGCTGTTATCGATTCTGGAGCGGAGATTAGCGTAGTGCGTGAGGGGGTTGTACCCGAGTTAGAAGGGAAGTCTGGAAGGGCGACGTAGTCTGGAAGGGTGACACTGACCGGGGCCTTTGGGTACAGCGCGATGTTTTGCGGCATGTACCTTCCCACGCGCTATGTTGAGTACATCCCCCAGGGGTTCCAGTTTTATGTGCCGTCACCGATCGCCTGGTGGCCAGCATATACGTGCTCCTGACGCCTGACGACTACGACAACCTAACGTGGGGGTGCGGGGTGCTCGACCTCGAGTCGGTGGAGCCTGGGGCCTTTTTGTTGTTGCGCTCTTTGGACTCCCACGGCGACTAAGGAAAAGGAAGTAACGTAGGTGTGAATGAACGTATCTTAGCAACACCACGCATCAAGGAAACTCACCTTCTGACGCCGTTTTCGTCATCAGCGACTCCACCAATCACCATCCAAAGAGCGTTGTTGACGCCACTTAAGTGACGTCAACAACGCTCTTTGGATGTTGAGGACCAAGGAGAGAGAATTCAACAACGCTGTTTGGATGTTGAGGATGAAGGAGAGTGAATTCTCTCTCCTTGGTCGCCCTGGGAGTCAAAAAAGCGCAACATAGAGCCCCTGGAACCGAAGACGAGAAAGACAGAGAGGAAGCCCTTGAGGCGTCCGGTGGCTATGTTCCTGATGTCCAGGGCGACACCAGGGAGTGAATGTCATAAAAATCCCGCCAGCTCATGTAGAGCAGTGCGGGGAAATCCGCGGAATAGGAGTCAATCAAAGACTCCGAGCGCTACGGCCGGCGTCTATGCGGCTTCAAGATCAAGCCAAGGGGACCGTCGCCGGAGGCCAAACAGCACACCATGAATAGGCTAGGGATCGAAATCTCTTTCGATAAATGTAACCGGGTCCTATCTGGTGCGGTTCAAGTACACCAACTCCGAGTCACTCAAGGTGTCGAGGCGCAAGCAGGAGCTGCCAACGCAGCTGACAGACAGAAATGCAGATATCGTTCATTCCAAGAAGTCCATAATTGGCAGCGACTGCGAGAAAGAGTGACACCATGGTGACACAAAGGATCCTAGGCGGGACAAGGCGGACCCGACGCATGGGCACCCGAAGACATCGTCGTGTTCGCGGCATGGCGTATCTCAGGTCTCGGATGCCGTCATGAACATGCGACCGAGACCCAAGAGGAAGAGGCAACGCCGGATTAGCATTGCATTGTCCGATTTGGCGGCGACGCTACCTGCAAAGAGCGCCAATGGAAGCACGAGAAACGCCGCTTCCAAGAGAGGAAGCTGTCCTCGATGCTGAGAGGGGAAAAACTCCAAAACCCCATCTCAAGAAGCCAGGAACCCACAGCTCAAGTGCGAGCATGGAACCTGAAGTGGGCAATGACAAGCTCAGAACGACTGAAGGAGACTCGAGGTGGAAGCACGGCTCATCGTCCGTGCTTGGGCCAGGAATCAAGTCTGACGCGAAAATCTTGACAGATCTTCAAGACTGCGACTTCGAGCTGACACTCAAGTTCCTAGAGAACTTGAACAGTTGGAGTGAGGCCAAGAACAAACGGGGTGTGGGCTAATTTGCAAAAGTAGGACTTTCGAGGCAAAAATGAGTGACTGATTTGTCAAGCAATGGTTTTTTATCCATCGCATAGGCGAACCGAAGTTCGGGTTTGGAAATAAATTGTACATTTTAAAATTGCACTTTTCTTTTCTTTGTATGATTGGCCGGTTAGTGGCGCGTTTTTATGGAAGGTAGCCAGGCTTCTTTAGATGTTTCCGAGCGGAAATAAGTTCAAAAATAGCATGTGTTGCGCATACGGCTTTGCTTACCTAATATTTTTACAGCGGAGCTGTTAAAAGCTAGTTTCCCCAGGATCGTGTCCCCCGGAAAGAAATGTCGACACAAAACTCTGGTTTTCGCCGTCGCTCATAGATGGTGGTAGCTGCCCAAAGTGTTGTGTTTGCCGGTTGTCCGCTTGCCGTCGTCGCTCATAAATGGCGCAACCTTCTGAGCCCTTTCACGTCGGCTTGCCGACTTGCGGCCGGCAATACTTCATTCCCACCACAGTAGACCTCCTCTGGTCTTCCTTCTTCACCAAAGTGGAAGGATAAAAAGTTTTTTTTTTACATGCACGCTTCTGTCCATACGAAGCAAGCGTCAAGGCATTTTTGGTTTCAACGGGATCTTTAGAGCCTCGGCGGGCACATTCAAAATCACCTGACCACAACGTAATTGACAAATGTAGGACAAGCGGACACACTTTCGTTTTTTTTTTTTTTTTTTTAAGTAATAAAAGTAATATAGTTTTGGCCTTAAAATTGTACTCTTTGGGGATGTGCGAAGGTCAAGGTTAACGACAACCGTAATTCCCAAGGAGCAACGACATTAGCAGGGTTTCGGTTTCGTCTTTCTTTTCGTTGAGTGACGACTTTAAGTGACGCGGAGGTGGCTCGTGCAAAAGAAAAGGAGGACGAAAAGAGACGCACGCGGGGGAGCAACAACGTTGGTTGGAAAGCGGTCTGTGCTGTCCTGTAATTAGACGTTTGCTTTTATTTATCTCTCATAGACCTGTCATGTCATTTTTCTCATAAACATGTCGTGTCAGTCATTTTTTCTGACCGCCAAATCTACAAACCATTGGCGTTCTCAGTCATTGGGTTCCTGAGGCAATCAAATCAAGATAACCAATCTTCACTGCGACAATACGGGGAACTTGGCGCTAGTTTCCCAGAATCCAGTGACATTCGGGACTTTTAGCAAACCGTTACCGTGTTCCAGGCACCGCACTACCGGAGCCTTTTAAGCATGCTTTTAAGCGCGCGCTCGGGTGGTGTCATGAACGCGGAGCGCGTGCTTAAAAGCATGTTCCAAAGACTCCGGTGGTGTGTTACGCGAAACAAGGTAACGGTTTGCTAAAAGTCCCTATAAGCTGGGCGTCCTCATCCCGGCCTTTCCGTCATAGTGTTGCTGGAGTACTTTTCGCTATGATTGAACCCAACTTAAAAATGGTGGGAAACCACATGAGCTGGTTAGGAAACATAATGGTCTAAACCCTGAGACAAAAATATATAAAATAACAGACATGGCAGACGACACAAAATTTCAAACGCAGCAGAAACGTCTGACAGAGCTATGCTGTTGTTTAATCGATTTGTCAATTTGCTATCCAAACAGCTGTGCTTTTTCTTGTGTGTCTGTTTTTTGTGTGCATGTTGTCGAGCTCTGTAGAGGAGTAATTGTAGAACCGTGCGCTCTGACAGATGCCTTGTCCCTTGACGATTCGTGTCGACGATCCGTGCCGGCTTCCGGAAGACTGAAGTTGTCATTGGACTGCGCTCCGAACACGCTGAAAGTTGGCTTCCGCCGGCACCAAAAGTGCTGTGCTGTCATCTGACTTTGCGGAACCACAGTTGTTTCTAGTACTTGTGCTTCAAAGAATAGAGGAAGAGGGTGTTGGTGCGGGTCAAGAGTGAAGAACAAATAAACATATAAGACGAAGGCGACCTCAACCACATAGTCATTGTTGTCCGTCCCCCCTTTCTATGTATCTTCCTCATGTTTAACACATATATCTAAAACGTGTTATTGTGTTGTCTTCGTCTTACATGTTTATTCCATCGTGTTTTTGATGTTAGCATAGAAGTCTAAATGGTTCGCATCGCCCTCAGGCAAAAGGCGCAAAGTGTAGTCTAGCTCTGGTAGCGGGATATGATTTCTGCGGGAAATGATTTTTGCTTAGTCTTGTCACGTAGCTAAAATATTAAATTCAAATGCCATTCATTAATTAAGAAAACTATTGACCCTCAATCATAAACTTATCCGTTTAAAAAAATACAGTAAAATACTATACTTCGTTTCACCTGATGTTGTACCGCAGCGAAGGCTAGAAGCGCGAGCTCAAAGCGTTGGTAGCCGTTCTTAAGTCACGAGAGCTTGTGCCGGCGAGATGTGCCCCAGAGCAAGGAGCTCGCGCTTGTAGCCTTTCCTGCGGTACATCATAAGGTGAAACAGAGTGTAAGTGTTGCAAAAAGCGTGCACGTGCTTGCTCGCCGTAATAAACCTCTCTGTGAGAAGTAAGATTAGGGTGCCTACATGTTTCCGCCGTTATGCTGTTTAGGGTGGCGACAACGTTTGTGGTACCTGTTGCCGACAAACAAGTGTTGCCTATCTCGTTACCATGGCAACCTCCGCTGTTTTCGTCGACCATTTTGTCACACTCGCCGGTCGTGCGCTCGGACCACGCCGCTAATCCTCGTTAGGGTTAGGGAGCTATCACCGCTCTCGTTCCGACGGCAAGGTTTCGGCATTCAATGCCGGCATCTGGCGTTCCATTTTGTCGCGGGAACTCGCGTTTTGATAAAATCAACGCACACTTCCTGCTCGCAACTTGAAAATATGAAACACCCGAATAAAGAGAGCGACAGTCGCGAATACCGCCATCCCGCTGAGCCTCAGACTCCTCTTATGAACGGAAACGGAAGTGGCCTCACAGTGTTGCCGGTGTGTCGAGACCACAGAAACTCAACGTTGTGTACGTTTAGCGAAATAAGAAGTGGGAAAAAATGGCGGTGGGAGAGGATCTGGGAAAGGGTAACAAGAAGTTGGCGCCACCCTAAAGCGGAGCGGAAACATGTAGGCACCCTAAGTAGGATTATGTTATGTGTTTATGGTCATAAATATATATAAAAAAAACTGAGTGCAGTCACAACACTTGGTTCGGTGAATTGTGCTTATCAAAGTAAAAATTACTTCTAACGTCTCGTCGACTATGCAGCCTAACCTTGCATGGGACAAGGTGTCTAAAGAACCTCGCCCACGCATATTTTTTGCGCTGAGGTTCACGAACTCGAAACTGCGGACCAAATCCGATTGTTTTTCTTTAGATAGAAAAAATAGAAAAATGGAGGGCTTGAAATAAATTACCCACTTTAAACAAAAAAAGAACTGAAAAAAAAAATATATATACATGACTTTAAAAATGCACTCAAGCGCAGGTGACTCAAGGAACACAAGAATTATATAGAAACGTGAATAAACACACAAACTTACCTGTTTCGTTAAAAAAAAGCGTGGCAGGCAGCAAAACGTTTGCTTAACTACATTGCGTTTGCTCAGACCTATAACTTTTCTGGATATACGTTGAAAAATAACATCCCAATAAAATTAAAAAGCAAAGATGAGGGACTGAATTTCGAATGCTATTGGTCTTGTAAGACATTTCCCTTGCCTTTACGAGGCTTTCACGTACACTTGAGATAGTCCTCTAACATAATCAAAATGCATAGATTTATTTTGTAAGCCTTAGGACCTTGCATGTCTCCATAAAAACGAAATACTAAGACACACGTACAAAGTCCAGGACCAAGAATCGTACACGTTTCTCTGGCACAGCGAAATTGCTCGGAAAAATAAAGGAACTATTTGACTACGGAAATTCTGTCCGAATTTCTTCAAAGATGTATATAGCAGTTCGAGAGAGGTCAATGGAAATTGAAACTGCTTCCGAATTCCTACAGCCTCTTTCACTTCTGTTATCAAGCTCGGCCTATCGGCGGAACTGCATTACTCACTTCTTGACAGAAGCAATGTTCCGTAAAAGGCCTCCCCCCTCCTTCCCCACTTCCCCCGCCGGCACGTTTTAGCTTTCCGTTTCGCTAAAAACCGTCGTAATCTAAGGAATGCGCTTGTTATTCCTTCTAGCGTTCACGCCAAAACGCCGACATAGCGTGCTTTTGTTTGTTTTGTTATAAAGACCTTCTACTAGGCACTTTGTAAGCGAGGGACGCGGAGTCGCTCGGGCTTTGGCATTTATCGTACTCTGCACGCTTGATGATTCCTTTCTCTCGTGCCTTCTACTTTACTTTTGTTGTCTCGATATTTTTTGTTATCACTTTTCACTTTTCATGACGCAATACTTTTTCCTGCTCTCACACGAACGGGTGGTATAAAATTTATTAAGTTTGGACATGGAACAGCTTTGAGGCTTTTTTGGGCAACAATGAAGGCTTTGTCCGTGTTGGTTCGCCGGAAAAAGGATGCGCCAAATTTTGCGTTCAAGAGCACGCTATCTCATGAATAGCCACGCCTGTCCTGTTGCAATTCGTGCGTGCGTCTTGGCTGTTTGATGGATTTCGTTCACCGATGAGTTCTTAGAAAATTCGTGATAGTTTGTCATGCTTCTCAGTGTGCTCATAATGGCGTGCAATGGGAATCATAAAACATATTTTGACATCACTTTCGTCCCATTATTTGTGGCTACTTCGTCTTATACATCTACTAAGTGCATGCGTACAAAGATTATTATATTTTTATTCCCTCAAAAAAATAAAACGTGAGGAAACGACGGGACTTACTGGCCGAGAAGCGTTTTAGTAGAAGCACGCGGCTTCAGTGTGTAACATCGCCAACAAGAGCAAGACGCCGGTTCTAAGAAGAAACGCGATCAAGCAAGGAAGTGACTGATGGTTAAACAATGTCCTCGAACTAATATTTTTAGTTACATTTTTTTTTTTTTTTTTGTAACGTGTACTTTAATATTCTATCATTTAAGCGCGTGTTTCTGTTT